AGATGTAAAGAAATAGTTTATATGTTGAAATCAATGTGATATTTTTAAATTACTAGTATTTAATTTTTTTCAAAGTGAGATGTAATCAAATGACATCAGTTATAGCTTCAAATTATAGATAATAATTGGCCATGTTTTCTTTAATCAGTATAATTCTTTTTGATGCACTGAATCAAATTATTTGAATAAAATATGTCATAATAATATAATATGCCTTTAATTTGCCCGATCTTTGTGTACTACTCTATTTAGAGGTTTTCTTTGTTTTTACTGTCGTAATTTTTTTAAGTAAGCTATAGTATGTAAGAATATATTCAAAGATAGTTTCTCTTTATAGATTTGTTTGATTGTATACTCAAATATTTCAATTTGTAGATAAAAAAGACAAAAAATGTATTGCTAAATTAAATCACATGAACTTTGTTCTTATCCCAATCCCAAAAATATCAAATTAAAATGAAATTTTCTATTCAATGCAAATTTCTTGATGTATCGTGTTAAATTATTTGAATAGTATAAGTTATGGTTTAAAATATTAATAGTTCACTTAGAACAGATGTACTTGGTTTGTTCCACCTTATTTAATTTTTTTTTGTAAACAGTTTTCTTTATTTCTAAATTTAAGAATTTTTATTTAAATTTTTATCCTTGTCTTGGTTAAAGAGATTTTAATTAATGAAAAAGTTATGTCATTCAATCGTACTACACAAAAATAAATCTGCAATATGAAGAATAGAAAACAATGTACCAAGTTTGCATTAATTTAAGAAATGGGTACAATTTATAATTGGGTTGATACCTAAAAAAACTTCAAAATGGTACACTTGTGACAAATTTCCACGTGGATTTGCCATGTCATTCAACTCAGCAATTTCAAGGTAAAATTTAACGAAAGCTAACAAAAGGTAAATATGTCACGAGTGTACCATTTTTGGGTTTTTGGTGACTCAAAAATTAGTTTGGGATAAATTTGTCATAGGTATACTAGTTTGGGGTTTTTGATGACCCAAAAATTAGTTTGGGGCAAATTGGCTATTGTGTACCAATTTGGATTTTTCATGGTATTAATTTATAATTTCCTAATGAAATGAAGAATCCCTCTTATTCTTTTCCTTTAGTAAAAAAAAGACAACCCGAGGGTCTAAATGGGCCATCTTCGATTAATAGCATGAACTTTAAGTCGCCTTTGAATGCGATGCAAGAGGCTTCATGGCTTGATTCTAAACAAATTGTACTATATTTGGTTCTTCACATAAGCACAATTTAAGGGCTTTAGTGACTTGATCTCGAATAAGATAGCGTGATCTGGTGATTCCTTTGCACGAACCGGAGGCTTGACTTCAAGTCGAAGATGGTCAAGGTTTCCATTACCAAAACTTTGAGTTGTTGATTACCAAAATCCGCCAGGATTTCATGTTGAAGTTCTTAATTCTAAAGAAGCAACTCCAATGAATTTTTAGTCTTCGTATGTCCGTCCCAAAATGAATACAGAGGCATCCTATTATATAAAATGTATGGGAGCAGTCATTCATCATTGCTCAATTGCGATTGTCTATCTACAATTCGAATTTTGACCAACATTTACCTTGATTAAAACTAACGTCAAATCCATTTTGAATGTGATATAGATAAATGTTAGTTTGATTTACCATCGACTAGTACCTTTGTTCAAGTTTAATTGTTTTGCCATGAATATAGATTCTAATTTGATTGGACAATTTCGCTTGTCAAAAAGAATTGCTAAGTACTGAAATATTTATATAGAATTTTGTGACTCAAAATTTTCGTTGTTTATATATTAATCTAAGAAATTGCATTAAAAAACAAGCCATGTTAGTGAAGAGAATGACTTAAATACTTTCCCTAATTTATCTTTTTTAAAATTTTAAACTTAATTAGAGGTAAAATCTTGGTCTACTTCCAAATTTATTCATTTTATAACATTTTAGCTCAATTGACATAGAATATTGATATTGGGAGATGGTAGACTATAATTGAAAATACTTTCTCTAATTTATCCTTGTTTTTCAATCTCAAACTCAATAAGAGAGGAATATTCATATAATTCATCTTTATATATTTTTTAAAATAAAAATCCATTATGACATAGAAAATAGCATATGATGAATAATTAAGGGTTTGTTTGTTTCGTGTAAAACATTTTTCGGGAAACACTTTCCTCATTTTCCGACGTTTGGTTGGCTTAGGAAAATGAATCAATGGAAAATGTTTTCCTGGCCAACGAAAAAGGTTTCTTTATCAAAACTTAAATTCAGGAAAATAATTCCCTTTTTGAAAGAACTGAAAAACGTTTTCCGAAGTATGACATCTATCAGTGGTTGAACCCAAAACTCTACGCTTTAGGCACGAAAACCCCAAGGTCCCCAACCTTGGTTCCCGAGTACCGACATTCAGGACCAGGTCTCGACGGCCAGGCTCGAGACCTTAGTGTCCAGGGCTCGGGCCCCTGGCCCTTGGCGCCCGCGCCTAGGTCTGTCGAGGCTGAGCCCAAACCCCCGGTGCTCGTACACGATGCTTCGGCACCTGAACTAGGGTCCATAAAGGCCATGCTCAGGTCCCCGATGCTCTAGCTCTAGTCCCCACCCTTTGACCCAAGTCCACAAAGGTTGTACGCCTATCCTCGGCGCTCGGGCTTTGGGTCTTTAATTAATGAAACGTTTGTTCTTATAAAAATATTTATTTAAAAATTCAAAGTTTTATTTATATTTTATTTTTTAAAAAATATTGTTATTTATTAAAATATTATTTTTATAAAATATAGAATTATTTATTATTTATTTATTCTTTTTTCTTTCTTTGCCTTTTCTTTTCTTCTTTTTTTTCTTTCTTTTTCTTTTTCTTCTTCCTCGGGTGGTCGCCGGACATAGCGATGGCCGGCGAGCTAGCGGTAGCCTTTTGCGGCGAGCCTCGAGCTTGCCCTGGGCCGGCGAACCCGCGGCTTCTAGTGGCGAGCCCAAGCTCCGCCGAGGCCGAAGAGCTTGCGGCTCACCAAATCCAAGCGAGCTTGGCTGAGGCCGGCGAGCTCAACCTCACCTGTGGCTGTCGCCGGGCGAACCTCAAGCTTGCCGGTGGCTGTCACTGACCGATTGAAACGGAGTAAGGGGGAAAAAGAAAATGAAAGAAAATAAAAAAGATAAAAGAAAAGAGAAAATTAAAATTAAAAACTAATAAAAATTCTAATTTTTCAAAAAAAGAAAAGAAAAAATAATAATGAGAAACACAAAATAATAAAAATTCAATTTTTTTTGCCTGAAATAAAGTCATGAGATTGAAATTATTTTTTAATAATATCCAAACATCAGAAATCGATTTTCATTGTGTATCACTAAACAAAGGAAAACTAAGCGTTTTCCTGAAAAATGATTTTCTGGAAAACATTTTCCTTCGTCATTAAGTTTTCCGCGAAACAAACTCACCCTAAGTTAAAATCTTATCGGTTGAATATGGGTCACATTTCAAAACTGAGCCACATGTCATGCTAGGTGCCATTCCCAAAGGCAAAATGAAGTAACACATGGCGAGCATATAAACAACCATTCTCTTCGTTCCGGCTTTAACTATATATAGACTATATAAGAAATTAAAATTAGGCACTTTCTTGATATATTATCCATTCCATTGACACAATAGAAATAATTGCTGATGCAGTTATTTAAACATGTTAATCCTCCGTTTAAAGTCCATTAGCATTAGAATACTTTTTTTTCAGCAAAAATACAAAAGGAAAACAAATTGAGTATTTAAATGAATGAATTGGTGTTTGTACTTTGTCGAAAATAATATTGGACTTATCACGAACATATCGAAAGGTGCTATTTCCCCCCATGTTTTTTTTTGACGTAATATTTCCCCCCTAGTTAACAAGGATAAAAATATAGGGTAGGCGGATTGTATGATTTTTATTTTTTATGTTGTACATTTGGAAAATATTTTCTCAGGGAAAGTACAGAGCCCTCTTTACTTAAATGAAATATAGCATAATCCAAAAGAGTGAAACTGAAATTTCATAGATCAGATAAAACTGTAACCCATTTTTCAGGATCAAGTCTAATGTCTTCTTATGTTATTAGCTTGGAGGTACATGGACTAATTGAAGAGAATTAAATTAGAATGAGCCTAGTATGAATTATTAATTCGAATGTCTCTTTTGTGTATGTTTATATATAATAATCTTTAGTTGGGCTAGATGTAACCAACCATAGGTTATATGGGGTAAACTTGAGCACGAATTAATTATCAATAAAAAAGAAGAAGAAGAACAACAAAATAACATGCATCAATAAATAAGAAAAGTTGGATTAGAGGTAGAAAAGAATGAAAAAAGTACAATAAAGGCGAAAAACAAATCCCAGGGTTGGTTAGTTGGTTACGGCAGCGGCCGTTTTCAACTTAAGAACTTAAAAGCTATCCGTTCAGATCTCATCAATTGCGTGTCAAACTAATCTGAGTTAGGGACACCTGCATAGACAAAGGCCTATAATAGATTATGGAAAAAGGAGAAACAAAAAATATAGAGGTGGATGGGAGTAGGTGTTGAAATGTATTCTCCCACTTCTGAACAGCTGGCAAAATTTACGACCTCATGTGCAGAAAGGATTGCAAAATATGAGCTATTTGTTTATGAAAAGAAACGGTGCAAATGCGCGTGAAAGATGATAAGATATTGCTTCACACATAGGTAATTCAAATGCAGCGTGTTGCTGACTCATTGCAATTATTCAATGAATTTAATAGATATGTTGCATTGAATTTCTAATGTCATGTAAGATTCGTATTGGACCATCAGTTTCGATTATCCGAATTCTATCTTGTAGATATATTAAGATAATATTATAACTTCTCTATATGGTGTTACCTGGTGTAAGAATTTCCCTTTGGGAGATCCTCATCCGATCATTGGGAGGATAGAACTGCCAAAAATCAAAACGAATAAAAGAAAAAGAAAAGAAGACTAAGACTGAGAGTGCCAACGAGGTCAACGCTTTAGATAAAGATTTGTGAGCTCGAACGTTTCTACAACCATCGAAGTTTGATAATTTGGATCTCTATTCGAGCCAGAGTCCGTGTGTGCAGATGGGTATTTGTGTTCGCAATTGCTGCTCATCGTCAGCTAATGCTTTTGCTGAAGAGTTGGCCGTTTGTAACTACCAAGTGTTCCTCAGCTTCAGAGGACCGGATGTCCGCCGCAACTTCCTCGAGTGCTTCTCCGACCACCTCACAGGCTCGGGGTTTATAGTATTCACAGACCGCGAAGAGATTGAGTATGGTGAAAGGATCGATACCAAGATCGTGGAAGCCATCAAGCGTTCCGACGTCTGCATCCCTATCTTGTCCAACAACTTCGCCTCCAGCCCAGCTTGCCTGATGGAAGTGGCCCAAATGGTGGAGTCAGAAAAAACCATTCTGCCCATTTTCTACGGCGTCAAGCCGGGCGTTGTTTGCCGCCAGCAAGGAACATATGGAGAGTCCTTCGTCGATCAAGAAAAGCGCAGTGATACCGAGACAATCAGTAAGTGGAAGACTTCTCTGGCAAATGTTGCTGGGATAAAGGGATTCGAATTGGAGGATGTCAGCAGTGGGTAAATCTGATCGCTATTGCTCTTACTCTACTTGTTTAGCCTTTGAATAGACGAGGGAAGTGGCTTATATCTATTTATTTATAGCAGTGAATCTGCATATATCGTCTTGTCTGCTCTTCAATGTTCTTGTACTCATCTACATGCTTTTTCTTGGGTTATTTACTGTCATGGTATCTTCTCTAAGTTTACCGAAATCAACCCGAACATATTGGTACACAGGAAATACCTAGTGCTCATTACTTTTATTTTTATTTTGTAGGTATCACGAGCTTCTAAGAAATGTCGTTTCTAAACTTTGGCAACTCTTGGAGATGGGTAAGGAAGACGTGACTGAAAATTTAGTTGGAATACACAGCAACGTGCAGGAGATGATGCGAAAGCTTGGTGTCCATAACGTAGATGGACAAGTTGCCGAGGGAAGATGCGTGGTTGCAGTGTGTGGTCTTCCCGGAGTTGGCAAAACCACTCTCGCAAAGGTGGTATACAACAAAATCAGTCACCTCTTTGATGCTTGCAGTTTCCTTAAAGACGTTCGGGCTGAGACTGCACAAAAAAATTTGGTATCTCTGCAGAATAAGTTAATTCGAGATCTCAAGAGAGGAAATTTCCAAGAAGTGAAATTCTCCGATCAAGGCACCAAAGTTATAAAATGCCTATTCCGACGAAAAAGAGTTCTCATTGTCTTGGATGACGTGGACGACTTCGAACAAATCAAACCGTTGGCCGAGAATCTAACTTGGTTTGGCCCGGGAAGTAGGATCATCCTAACAACCCGAAGGAAAGATGTTATTAAGCATTACAAGATTCAAGAAATCAATGAACACGAGGTCTTACCTATGAATGAAAATCATGCTCTTGAACTTTTCTGTAAGCATGCTTTTCGACCGGGTCATCCCGATGACTACGGTTCTCTGCCAACCGAAATCATTTCGGCCGTTGGGAAGCTTCCTTTTGCTATTGAAATTGTGGGGTCATATCTGAATGGGAAGAGCCCAGAAATATGGAGAGAGACTTTGGATAAATTAAAAGGAGAGCTGGAAAAAGGAGTGGAACCAATGTTGAAGGCAAGTTATGATCTTTTGGACGAAAACACAAAAGAAATATTCCTTGATATAGCATGTTTCTTTATAGGGGTTGATAAGACAATTCCCTATTACATGTGGGAAGCCCGTAAACGTTTCCCAAATAGAGGTGTTCATGAACTTCAAAATATGTCTTTTATAAAAATTAGCGAAGCAAAAGAATTTTGGATGCATGACCAATTAAAAATCCTAGGAAGAGAACTTGTGAAGAAGGAAAATCCTAAAAACCCCGGGAAGCGCAGTAGGCTGTGGGATTACAAAGATGTCCAAACAACATTGCGGAAAAAGAAGGTAAAATCACACTGAGATTTCTACAGAATTCTCGTTAAGTTTTCCTCTAGACAGATGATTACAATATTGTTTCATTGAATATCTTTGTTCTAATTTCACACTTCACTTTTTTCCACGGAATTGGCAGTGTACTGAAAATGTTGAAGCTCTCCGTGTAACCCCCAATTATAATCAAGATGAACCGGATTGCAACTGTCTTCATTATGACGATTTTCATCATCTATCAAATCTGAAGTTTCTTGAATTGACTAATGTTGGTATTGAAGGAAATCCTGAGAATCTTCTACTTTCAAACCTATTATGGCTTGATTGGCATGGATGCCCTGAGAAATCTAATTTGTTTGCATTGGATATGAAGAAACTGGTAATTCTCAACTTATGTTCAAGCCGAGTCACGTTGAACTTGGAAGACTGGGAAAAACTGATGCTGGTAAGTCGCGCTTGTGCTTGTGCACTTCTTTTATGTACAAACGAGACATTATAGTTGAAGTCATAACTAAACATATGAATCATATTGTTTTTGCAGAATGCTGGGAGTTTGAAAGTCTTGAACCTAAAAGGTTGTCCTTGGATCACTGCATCTCTGGGATTCCCTAACTCAATGTCCTTAGAATGCTTGATCCTGGAAGGTTGTTTGTTAGCAACTTCAACAATTGATGAATCCATTTCTAGATTAGAGAATCTAGTTTCCTTAAACATGAAGCATTGCTTATCAGTTAAACATTTGCCGCAAGCACTGTGTTCCCTGAAAGCATTGAAAGAGCTCCTCATTGATGGAACTAAAATTGAAAGACTTCATTTCGAGGAAGGCTCTCTGCCAGCACTTGAAATTCTCAGTGCTTGCGAATGTGAAGTATTGGGTGAAGTCACTGAGTCCATTGGATTGTTAAAGAATCTTCAGAAGCTTACTTTAAGAAGTTGCAGACAGCTAAAAGGACTTCCACATTTCATAGGAAAGCTTGTTTGGCTAAGGCAAATGGACCTGTCGTACACCTTAATCAATGAATTGCCTTCTTCTGTCAAGGATTTGAAAAATCTTCAAGTGCTAAAGATGGTTCATACTTACCTAGAAGGATTTCCTGAAGCCATAAAAGATCTTGAGAAGCTTCAAGAGTTGGATTTCACCCACTGCGAAAGTTTGAGTGGAGATTGCGACATCACAGGATTGTCTTCTTTGAGAATCTTGAGATTAAAATGCACAAGAATTTCTCGTGTGCTTGCCAGAGATCATAGGCAACTTAGTCTCTACATCCTTGAGTTAGATGATGGGGTCGATAAGCAGACAGTCTCATAATTTCACTCTAGCTCAGACTTGTTACTGACAAAATGCAGATGATCCTGTGTATGCCATGCTTTAGTCTTGAAGGTCCAAAACTAAGGTATGTCTTGGAATTTTCTTATCCATGCGGACTTAAACGAGTTAGTGGCCAACTGAGAAAGTTGCTTTGTTAGAATGCTCTTCTCTTGACAGATTACATAACTATGGATTTCAGAGCCTATGAATTCTGCATCAGTGTGCATGAATAATGTCAAGCTATGTTTCTAAAGAGCTTAAAGTTGAAGCGTCTTTAGAATGTTTGAAGTGTGAGTCATTCAACCATATTTTGGAAAGAGAGATCTAGCATTTGGAGAGAAACCATATTTTGTTCCCGTTTCCTTTTTGTGCTTGATGACGCTACTTTTCTTTTGACAGCATGTATCTGGACCTTCTTATCGTAGTTTACTCCTTGTATCTGTGATCTTTGTATGTCTCCATCATCTGTGGCCGTCCCATGATTGGCAGGTGTAACTGCAGTTGATTTATTTATTTTTATTTTTTTTTGGTAACCCGGGAACCCCCCGCACGGCCGACAGCCGGGGAGGTAAACCCGGGGTGACGCTAACGCAGGACCCACCACCACGACGTCACGCTTAAGAATCCCTAACGCCAGCGTTGGGATTCGAACTCCTACCCTTCGTGGGGGAAGAGGAGCCCGAAACCAGCGCAGCCGCTGAGGGCGGTGGTCAGTTGATTTATTTTTTATGTCTCAATTTATTGAGTTTTTCATTTGTAATTATGTTCTCTCTCTCTCTCTCTCTCTCTCTCTCTCTCTCTCTCTCTCTCTCTCTCTCTCTCTCTCTCTCTCTTCTTTCTCTGTTTTCTTTTTTCTGCCGAGGGCTATAATCAGCAGCAAGAAAAAATAGATTGTTATCACATTAATTTAGTACATACCAATACAATGATCCCCATCTTATGAGTACAAGCATATACTGCCAAATTCAATTTGACGTGACAGAGGACAAAGCAGAGGGATTTCTTTGCAAATGTAAAAGGTTTAGTTTGAATGACCTAACGGAATTTCTTTGGTTTGCTGCTTGCAGCAGCCTACGATTTTATTTGCATTGTGCATTGGTGCCAGATGCAAAACAAGTCCCAAGGAAACTTGTGCAAGCTGTTGCTAAACCCAATTCGACTTCCTAGTTCTATACATGCTTGCTTCATATTATATTGTTTTCTCATTATTATAGTGGTCCTCTCACAAGTTCTGTCATGTTCTAAATTTGCTAATGCTCATAGCTTATCTTCACTTTGTTGGTTTCTCGGCAATCATATGCTAGGATTGAGTAATCTTCCCATTGGAGCTTGTATTGCCCTGTCATTCAATTTCATTTTCCTGTAAATGGTTTTGCGAGTTCATGAATTCACTGATGACCCTAGACATTAAAGAAAAGTTGTTTCTCATGCGTTTAGTGGGTTGAACATTCAATGAGGACCCAACCTCCAGAGATGAACAGCCCAGGTGTTCTTCTCAGTTTAGGAATCAAGCTCCTTGTTCTGGTCGGAAAATAACGCCTAGCGGCCAAGTAATCATTTTGAGGGCATCAGTATTCCGTAGGATACATATATTATAAGCACATTGCTGAATGAAGGATATGAAGTGACAGCGGCAGCTTAATATTTTTTTTTTGTCGAAACAGCAGCACCTTAATACATTGCTAAAAATGTGGCAGAATGTGAAGTGATGGCCATCAGAATTAAGAATATTGTGGGTCAAATGACTTAATAGAGTGGAGTGGTTGTAAGCTTATATGGTCATCATTTGTTAGTCCATGTCGAACTGGAACCTTTATCAAACCGAGAGGGACAAAGATGGTTGCTTGAAACTCGATGAAGGCAAAATTCAAAAGTTCCTTATAAATGAAAAGTCTCGTAAAAAAGTGAAATATCTCAGAAAAAAAACGGTTTCGATCCACTAGGCTCTTGATTATTGTTCATTTGGAGTCCAAGGCTTGCCTTCGCACCTGGAATAAGTAATACTCAGAACCTTCCAAGAATTACCGATGAAAATGTACAAAAAATTTGTGCATGGCGGGTACCCATTTGCTTCAGCACACTCTTCCAGGGTCTCTGTTTTTCTGGCTTTTTCACATTCATCTCATAGGTTCATCCTCCATCCTCTTCCGCTTTCTCTCTCTGGTTGCAGCTTCTGGGTAGTGTTGTCAAGAAATCCATTAGATGCAACTGGAACAAGCAAAAGTGCATTAGGTTTGGACTGTCATCGCGCCTACATCCCAGTTAATTCATCGAGCACACATACCTTAGCTCCATGCTTAATTTGAATAAGAAAGGTAGTCTCAATCTTCAGAATACATATTGAAATACAATGTCATCCTAGACCAAACTATGAACATTTGGTAGTGAAAACCTAATGAGAAAGCAGCAAATCCATCCGTAACTTCTGGAATGCAACCCAGAAATTGTGTCCCCCAGAGCCAATTTCAGGGTAGAGTTGGCTTTGAGACGATATATTTGTTTGCTTAAAGTAGATGCGATTCTCCAAGAGAGTTTGAAACCAAGATCAACATCCTGCCTTAACATTTGGGCCAATGGAAGATTTTCCAGTTATGGTCACAGAATCAGATCAAATAACTTTACCACTGCATATCTTGAATCTTTTTTCCTCGTAAAGAAAGACCATTTTCCTTGGATGAACTGAAGTTCTTATCATGATTCAAAGTTAATTACGAGTCAGGTGGTTCAGAGCCTAAAATGGGCTATTATTAAGTAAATCCGTTTCATCTGCACTTCTAAGGTCTTGTTTTCAGAATTCACTTGTTCTAACACGATTATCTTGAAGTTATTTTCGCAATAATCCATGTTGGCTATTCAACTTTTTCATTTGGCTAACTGTTAGCAGATCAACTTATTCATGATTACTCCTTGGAATCTGACATTCTCACATGGCTTAATCAATTTCTCTTTTATTTCATTCATGAAAGATCAATTAACTTACATCTCCTTCTGCAATAAGTTATCATGCCATTTACTCGTCTTTCAATTCCATTCAACTCAGGGTCTAGTTGTTTTGGCGTTGTTGGACTCGAAATTCTCTTATGAGAATGAGATCCGAGATATGTGTTCGTAAAATTCTGCACGTGTCAACGAACGTGTTGAACAAGTAATACAATGATGAGAAGAGTATCGTCCCATAGAGATTGATGATAATAAACTAATTAAATATTAAAAATAGACCAATTTTAAAATTTATCTAACAGATCAAAATAGAATTGAGAATAAATAAAAATTGACAATTTTTAAAAACGAAATTTTAGAAACCAAAGGCAAATAATCAATCAGATAAAATATGTTAGAGCATCTGATTTCACCATAACCACTAGATATGAATTTCGAATCATTATGCATACAAGAACAATATCAAACATGTGATAGCTGAATTTCCTAGTCTATTTACTAATCTATCTCTAGGTATAGCAAACCTACTCAGTTTATCAATTCACTATATTTCTATGTGAATTTAAATAAACATAAGTGCATTAAAATTTGTGAATATTCCCGGTTTACAATGAATCTTTTGGACCACCTTATCACCGAAAGCTACACAAATAACATGGTATATTTCTATCCACATTTAATTCATGATTATATATTATAACGAGCAATTGCATATTATCACTTCTCAGTCTCAAACATGCACATTAGATCATTTAAGTGGTGGCCAGTCACTTAAAGGCATTAAGCACAATAATATATAACTCACATGAATGAAATCACTTGCAAAACATAAAAAGTATGAAATTCATATCATCATGATTAGGCTACATCGTAGCTCTAGCAAAGAAAATTAGAACATAATAGAAGAAGAAACGAAAATATAAATTAAACCAAACATCTTGAATCAAAGAACAAGAATTCTATCACTACGTTTGTCTTCTCTTCAAAATACTTGAAAAACTCCTAGAATACTGAAAACAAAAACGATCTAAAAAAAAACTCGTTGTTCCCCCAAGTTATCTTATTTATATGATAATATCAAAGACTCCTCTCACAAGGTAATTGCTTCTTTTTCGCATAAAATTAGGAAATAAATCGCAGAATTCCCAATGTGATATCCACCTTCTAACTCTTCTCTAGGTCGCATATTCCTTTCCTTCTTTTTGCCATATTTTCCTTATTTTCTCCATATCTCAATATTCTGCATAAACAAGGAAAATGAAGTAAATAAAAGGAAATCCAAATATATTCTCACAAATATTGAATTATTTATTGCCTAGAGTAGATAAAATAACTCTATTTTTATAGAGTTATCAAACCCCCAAACTTAACATTTTGCTAGTCCTCGAGCAAAAGCAAGATATAAAACATACTCAAGCTAACAACCCCCTCCATGACTTCCTTCCATAATTGCTCGAAATCACAATTCAAAGTAAAACACAAATTTCATCCAAACTTTGAAATAGATTCATAAGTTAAAATCAATTCTAACTATGTGATCCAAGTGTGTGTGTGAGTCCTCATCTTTTCGAATTATATGCAATCCACATAAGTTCATATTGGTATGCAACCTCTCAATAACTCTTTATAATTATAACTAAATATCATAGGTTTGCTTTTCATTCCTCTCTCCACTAATGTAAGCTAATCATCCAACCAAAAATCAATAGGACTTTCCTCAGGTTGTAATGTAAGGCTGGGCTAACAGTGAGATAATGGTAAATTTAAGCTCAAATCACCCATGAACACATTGATTTCTAGGATCTAATTAGAGCACATGCCACTAACCCTAATTTCACATCTTCAAAATAATCTTTCTGCCACCACGTTTCATCATTCTTTCTCTTTTTTTTTCTCTTTTTTATTTCATTGCTTTATGGTGGAGTTCCTCCCTAAATCCCTCATAATATAACGTGAACATTCCCAACCCATTGAGTATCCGAAAGGCTCACTCAATTGAAAGTTGGATAGGGAACCATAAAAGCAATTTCTTTTCTTCTTTTTTTTTTTAAACGATACACCCCAAACAACCATAGCAATCAAATTAATTCCATGCTCCACCCTTCCTCCCAAATTGCTATTATGCTCAAATAAACTTTTATCCAAAAAAAAAATCAACATGTTCATGGGGCGTGGGACAATGATATAATTTGGCAAAAGGTAAGCTAAAAAGTACGTGGGTGCCAATAAAAGATTGGATAATAATTAAGGCTCAATGGGGTGACTATGGATAAATAAACAGGGTTGGCTTGAAAGGCTCAATCGATCCAAAAATTGCCTAAATCATTTTCTCAGTTAGATGTAGCCTAGGATTTCGCCTCAAGAGAAAATCAAACAAATTCTAAGATTTGGGTGAGATATAAGAAAAGCACATACTTCACATGAATATTCTCTAGATGTACACACTAAAAAATTAAGGACTTTTAGTGCTCAGTAAGTGGATCAACATAATCAGAATCAAAATTAAACCACATATCATTCGCAATCGCAAAAATTCACAACAAGGAATGCAATCATGCAAAAAAAAAAAATCAGA